TTTGATTCATTGAAGGTAACTTCCTTCAAAACCTGTACATTGTTTTTCATGACCATACAATGCATAAAATGATTACGAGCACAGAATTAAAGGAATGCTCTTTAAAACCTTCCTTACAGTTTTCTGGATGGTGCTTACGTCATCAAAATAAAAACCTAAGCAAAAGCAATTTGGAGAAACAGAAAATAATCACAAGCGGCAAGTCTGTTAAGTAGAGAGTGACAAAATACTATAAATCTCTTGTTTTGGTGCCTAACTCTTGGAGATGATAAACCTTATATCAAGAGCATTCTTATCGAGAATTCTTATATCATTCTTCATATAGACATTTTTAAAACATCCAATTAAAATGCAACGGTAACACTTGATCTCTTGTGTTCAAGTTCTTTATAAGCAGTTCTGGTCTGCTTTCTTTCCCCCCTCCCCCCCAAAAAAATATTAACAAAAAATTTTAAGGCTCAGAGTTTATCGTTTGCTTTTGGCATTTGCTGTTTCAAAATTGAATTTAAATACCAATATTTTGTCATGAATGACAATATTATACAAGAAATTTGAATTTCTTTTAATGGCAGCAATCATCCAAGTATATAACTTTTTTAGTAAATGCTCACAGTTTTGTTTCAATTTATTAATTAGAAAATAGCATCACCATCTTTTGTCTCATTTAATTAGTCGTATTCACAAAATGCTGCTCCACATAAAGTTCAAATAGAACTTTAAAAATAAATAAATAAATAAAAATAAACTCTTACCAAATGAAAGGAAAGCGCATTTCTGTCTCCGGTTCCTTGATTGCGCATGCTGATCGGTCGCAAGGTTGCTGCATATTTTCAAAAAAACATTTCCGAAATTTTACCTGTTTGTACGATTTTTACATTTTTTTGTAAAATTCTAATCACAGACAATTGCTTGGACTTAGGTTTCATATCACAGCTTCCGATACCTGTACATGCTTATCTGTGTGTCATTGCTCTTCCGCTTCGTTCTCATTGTTGATTCGTCAGTTTGTAGCTTTTTAAAATTATTTTTTTTTACGATAAATTTATTTTTGCTGAATATATAATTTCGGAATTGTGTTAATATAGTATTATTTTAAGCAACAATTTCGTAATATTCGAAACCGTATTATATCGCGACGCTTTATAATCAAGAAGTACTGAATATTTTAAGGTACGAATTCATGGAATAAATTTCATTTTCATAATTGAATCTACTTTTTAAAAATTTAAACTAACTAAAAGTTAAGGAAAGAATAAAATAAAAGCACTATAAAACGTAAATCTAGCAAAAGTAGGAACATACTGCGATTTTTTAAGGTGTTTTTCTTCTTTGCGAACTATGTCCATTAGCTGTTTGTAGATGTTCGTTTTTCTTCTCTCTTTCTTCTGTGGAACTGGTGTTGGTGAAGAACTTATATCTCCATCATTGGCGAGGTCTCCAGCTGAAGTTGCTAACCTGCAATTAGAACTGGATGCAAGACCGAAACCATGAGGATTTTGAGTCTTCTGCGCATTTTCAGCATCTAAATTTCGTTGTCTTTCTAGCCATGAGTTGACAACTTTTCTCGTCTGAAGCCATGTTTCTGGCTCTGGGGAACTCATCACAGAGGAAGAGGAGAATCGACCTAGAATTATAAACGTAGCATCAAAATTTTGAAATACTTTTTGAATGTACCGAAAGTTGATATCACTGAAAACTGAGAATTTATTTCTGAACTTCATTACATTCGACTATTAGTAATGCAAATATGACTCCACAATAATCTTTCCTTTTTTACCGTAATTTAAAACAGTAACTAGCAGAATAAAAAAAATTGTAGAAAATTAAAACTAATAATAACAAATAAAAACGATTTGTTTAAGCCTTTCAATCTCCCATCCTCGCATATCTTGGCAGCTCTAATTTTTGTTCCATTAAATTATTTCATTAAACTAGTGGAATATTGTAAAAATTGTTGCTTTCTGAAGCAAGTTTTCTGCTGCTACGCTGGTTTCCATAAATTAAAAAAGAAGAAGAAGAAGAAAAAAGCGATTATGGAATTACTAAATGAAGGCTTTCGGTGATATTTGGAGAAAATAATAATTATATTATAAATTTTAAAACATCCATTTTATCGAAAATATTTATCAGCGCAGTACAGTACATTTAACAGTATCATTTTATCTAAAAATTATATCATCGAGAAATATTTGCAGAACATATATGTGACACTGCAATTGGGAAAAAACACCAGTATACAGTGTGGTGTTTCTTACAGCATATGCAGGATAATATACACTGGTGGACAAAATTAGAAGATGCATAACATTTTCCCACATTTCTCCTAAAATACCATACAAAACCTGGACAGTTGGTTGCCATATAATGTCACTGTGGCGCTTGTGTCACTAAGATGAGTTCATGTATTCCTTTGGGCGTCGCTACGCCAGCAGAAGATATAAAGTCCACGTGCAGCTGCTCAGCTCATTCCTATCTGCACCACAGTAGTGTTTTTTATATCTTTCTTGAATAATCTTATTGTTTTTTACGAGAAATGTCCATATATCATCGCTTAGATGAGGTTGTAAAATAGAGAATCGTGTGCAGGCTTGATACAGGGCAGTCCCAAGCTCAGGTTGTAAGAGAACTGGATGTAACACCAAGCGTCATCTCTAATTTGTGGAATCAGTATAAAAACAGCAGGACAGTATCCAGTAAACCAGGTCAAGATCGCGCGAAAGACAAATGACAACCGGTATCTGGTCCTTTCATCCAAGCGCCATAGGATGTCTACAGCCACAAAACTGCCTTTTGACCTCACTGCTGCCACAGAAACATCAGTTTCAAAGAAGACAGTTACCAGAAGGCTCCATGAGACAGGACTTGTATGCCAGAAAACCCGCTATCTGCATCCCAGTCACTTCCTCCCACAAAAGAGAGCGTTTACAATGGTGCATACAACACCAACACTGGACACAGCTTCAGTGAGCTAATGTTCTCTTCATGGATGAGTCCAAATTTAGTTTACAACCTGATTCTTGGGGATTATTGATATGGAGGAAACCTAGAACCTGATATCATCCAGCAACATCATGGAAAGAGACCATTATGACGGCGGAAGAGTGATGGTCTGAGTACAGATCATGAAAGATACCCGCACACCTCTCCATGTGTTTCACACTGGTTCCGTGAATGCCGAGAGGTACAGGAAGGAAAGCCTTATGTGCGACTTTCCAGGGGTGCTGTTGGCCCTGAGTTCATTTTAACGAACGACAATGCACGACCACATAGGGCCCACCTGGTTGATGACTATCTGGAAAATAATCTATAATATGATTTTTTTACGTCTAGTGCGTCTTACATGTGGACTTAAGTCTATAAATTGAGCTGTCTTATCCTATAACAGTCTTCTTTTGAGGGTTACAGTTCCACTACTTGAACGTAATATGAGCAAGAGGTATCTTCCCACAATATAAAGTTTCGGTTCTTGGGTATGCATAAAAACTTGAATATTTAGAAAATATCGTTTCTACTGCGCCATTCCAAACAACATATAATGACGATAGCGGATGCTTAACTCTCTTCCTATCGAATAACACCTAACAATGATCGCAGCCGATAACTAGATTCTTTTGAAAATAATATAGTCCTTTAAGATCTTCAATTTGTTCAAGCAAGTGCATTTCCGACTAAAAAATTTTCTCTCCTGTGCCGTAACAGGAGTCTGTATGGGCGTAGCCCAGATCCAAGCCTGGGGGTTGCAAATGACTTCAACAGATTCATAAATTAAAGTAAGACTGGACTGGAATATTCCGCCAGTTGTCGAGTGGAAAGATAGCTAAGCATTAGTAATCTGACCCAAGAGATAGAATTACCTTGAACTGAGTAATTGCACAAGCATTTTCGCAAGTATTCGAACTAGATAAAACACAAGACTTAGAAAATCTCTTAGAAAATCCTCCGCGGATATATCCTTTCCCTTTAAGCAGATAGCTGTAATTGAATAATCACATTTTTGTCCTAATCGAAAAAAAAAAGGAATAATAAACGATTGGCTAGAATAAATATGAAAGCAGATTGCTGAAGTTTGGAGAACAGGAATAAAGTTCCTTAACTTTATTTTAATCTTTAACTTATACTGCAATAATTTTAACTCTGTCTGTGCTAAACCTCTCTAGAACTTTCCACTTATTTCAATTCTTCTCTCTTGAACTAGCTTTCGATGTATCTCAATACATATGCAGGCATTCAAATGATCATCAGTCACCGTTGAGCGCAACCAAATTTTTATTCTGTTTAAGGTACTTCATAGTACCCCTAGTACATGGTTGATGCAAAGAAATAAGATTTGGTTTGTTTTATTCCATTATGGTAAGGCACACGAGGACTATTTGCCAAAGCGAAGGGATGCCTTCGTGGACGAAATGGAAACTAGCTCATACGGAAACGCTCATGCAGTCAGCCTATCGCTGGAATTGGAACCCGAGTTAAACTAAAAGTGTTCAGCGACTGGCCGTTCGACGGCAAAGGGTTCGACGGCTGGTGAGCATCATAGAAATAAGAAGACCAATTTTTGTTTGTGGAGAAGGAGGAACTGGGAATTGTCACGAAGTATTCTCATTTTTAGCTCTTTCATATTGTCAATATTTACTTATTACATCCAAAAATTGTTATAAATTTCTATCTCACTTTTCAAAATTTTCCGAGTCTCAAAAATAAAGAAACACTGCATCTTTCTGCTAAACTTTAAGTGTGGTATATTTAACATAACCACAGGAAAATAACAGTAAAAAAAATACTGATAAATCTGAAAATACGCTGGAAAATCGTTTCCCAGCTGACAAAATTATCAAGAATCTAGATATGTAATTAATAGAGATCTTTTCTAAAATTCGTCAACTTTAGATGTAGAAGCATTTGAAAGATTTGTTGCTCTTACAATCTTCGGTATTTGCATGAATTTGTATAAATGGTAATGTTTTTAGCTACAGACCCGTCGACGGCAGAATATCCTGACATAAAATATCTGTTGCTTTACGATGTTCTTTCACGAGCGTTAAAAATCCATTAATGTAGTCCTGACATAGTTGTAGCATATTCAAATTCTTTTACTGTAAAGTTATAGCGGAAAATAATATAAACTTGCTACAAGTAACATTCATATCAGACCACGGTTGAAGAATTCGAAATGCAAAAATTCGATAACGCATACATTAAAGCTTTCGGCGACTACTCAGATTCAAAGGTTCTAGATGATCCCAAAGAAGTTGAAAAGGTTTAATGATTAGAGAATGACTAATTATATTTTAGGGGAACTTAAATTAATTTGAAATAGAGAAATGAAAATTAATATGATTTAGTTTTTGATAGAAATAATGTAATGACAGAATCGAATGAACAATTAGTACTCTCATATAAAGGAAAGAACTGATGTATTAAAGTTTATACAGGGATAATGCTGCTACATTTGCTATTATTATTATGTGGATCCGGTGTTCGATGAAGCTTGGGATGCTGATTTACTTCTATAGAAACATAAATAAACATAGACAAGTGGGAAAATAAAAATATATAACCATGCAGCGCAACAAATTAGAATTTTATATAGTAGAGAGATTCTGAGAAAAAAATCATTCGCATAAAAAAAATGTATTGAAGTATATAAGGGACTGTTTTTATTTATATGATGACAGTAAAGCAGGCAAGAGCTACTTGCCTATTGGAAGGGAAGCCAAAGAACGTCTATGTAAAGAAGTAAAGGTACCATGGACATAAATAATGTAAACCGGTTTGCTATTACGCCGCTGGAAAGAGGAGGGGAAATTCGCCAAGGGGTTTGACGACGGAACCTGGCGGCGAGAATTTCTCCTTCCGCGATGTGCACAGGAAATTGAAGAACACATGTTAGAAGAAACGTTCTTTGACTTTTCGTCATAATTTAGACTCTCATTTTCGTACTTTTTTTGGTTCAAAATAACTAATCCATTAATTAATTTACTTGCGCGAAAAAATTTCTTTTCCTTTAATTTTAAAGAAATTTAAAACGATATTCATTTTATGGACTCTTGAAAAACGTGACCTTCGAACTTTGGCGACAGATATTTTGCGCATGCGCAGCCGTTTCCTTCTACGTTGGAAAGAAGCCACTCCTGCTGCGGAGAAGTTTTCCTTCTTAATAATACATATTCTTTTTGGGGAAGCTTTTTGTGGATACCTTTATAAAGGAAACTGGTATCCATATTATACACAAAGAGAAAAGTGCCCGTGCTTCGGATTTCAAACTGGTCAAATTACTTAAACTTTTCTCTTGTTATTTGACCACTAGGATTCTACTATATGAAGAAACTGAAAATTAATTCAAGATGTGAAAACGCGATGCAAATAATTAAAAAATCATATTAAATTTTATTTTTATGAATTTGCTTTACAAAGTTATATTTTACTTGGTTTCTCTATTTGTTTGGGTCAAACCTTAAAACCGAATTTTAAATCTTCTATCAAACGGACATTTTTGAATATTTTCACATACATACCAGCGATGTCAATACAATATATTATAACCTGAAATGTTTCAAAATTCGACGTAGCTGCGTTTTTAAATTTCGTATTGATATTTTTTCTCATATCTTTATTTTAATAATTTTT